TTCATTAGATATCCTTCTCATTTTTTTTATTGTTATAGGTATAGTTTTTATGTGTATTATAACCAGAGGAGAATAAAAAATCAGAGAGATTTCACATAAAACTTATTCTTAAACCGTATCCAATATCCAAATATATATTAATTTTCTTAATTTATTCGGTCCAATAATCGGTTTTTTTCGATTGTTTTTTTTTCGATTATAACAGGTTTTTTCTTTTTAAACGTTTTAAACAGTCTTGGCACAATGATGGCGGTTCGACGCCTTCGGGAAATTTGTACTGGAGATTTTATCTGCCAAACAATGAAGGAGCTTTTTGAAGAATTCGGCATCCCTCTGGTTAGAACTGTTGGCGCTTGCATGGATGGTGAAGCGAACGTGGTAGTTGTAGTGAGGAAGTTGCTCGGAAAGGACAAAAAGCTGCGTTGTTTTGCACACATATTAAATTTAGTTGTTATAGATGTCCTAAAGCATGTACACAATGCGGTATTAAAAAAATTAATTACCGATTGGCAGATCGCTCAATTAAAAAAGCACTGAAAATGATTTGTGGGACAGACATAGAATTAATCAATAAAATTGTTAGCATTTTATTGCCTTTCTATGAGAATACATTTGAGATCTTAGGTTCCCAGTACATTAACAACTCGAGGGAATTCCATTTCTATATGATCCAAAGATTCGCACTAATGTCACCCTTATATAGCTGCAATATTGGCCGATGATAGAATAGTGTTTTCCAATACCATAGACGGGCTGCAAAACTTAATGAACAAAATAACGGAAACAAGTAGAAAATATGGACTGAACGTAAACATCAGCAAAACCAAGCTAATAATCATCAGCAAGGAAAACATAACTGGAGCAAATCTGTATGCAACACAAAAAGAGAATTGAACGAGTCTCACAATACAACTACTAGGAAACTATAATCAATGAGTCGTGGGACAATACCCAAGAGATTAAATGTCGCATCAGAAAGGCAAAAAGTGCATTCTTGACTATGAGTTCTGTGTTCAAGAGCCATGACCTAACCGTAGAAACAAAAGTAAGGCTCCTTAAATATAATGTGTATTCAGTGTTTCTATACGGAGTAAAAACGTGGACATTGAAGGCTGAAGGAAACTCTATCAAAACTTCAGGCTTTTGAGTCATGGTCATATAGAAGGATCTTGAAGATACCATGGATAGACAAAGTTACCAATGAAGAAGTACTGCGGAGGATGAACACAACTGCGGATTTGGTCAATATCGTGAAGGGACGTAAGCTGCAGTTCTTGGGACATATAATGAGAAATAGAGGCAGATACGAGCTACTTCAATGCATTTTACAAGGTAAAATTGAAGGAAAAAGGGCCCCAGGACGATAGACCTCAACACAGCTATTTTGTATAGCAACCAACAAAATCATCATAGCCAGAATGATCGCCAACGTTTGGAACGGGCAGGCAGCCTAAGAAGAAGAATTGGAAAATCCCTCAATTAAAAAAGCACTGAGAATGATTTGTGGTGCAGACATAGAATTAATTAATAAAATTGTAAGCGTTTTATTGCGTTTTTATAAGGCCACAACTATGATCTTGGGTTCCCAGTACAATAATGCTAACCTTGTAATCTTGCTTGTACCCATCATAGAAAAGTCGTTAAAAAACCTTTTTCCAGAACATATTGCACCCCAAAGGATATACCAAAAACTTGTAACTAGCCAATTTAGAGCAGAAGTAAGGAAGTACCTTGCCGAAATTTAAAAACTTTCTCCTTTCTGCTCTTTTCAGACTGAAGAGGCTAAAGTGGGTTTAAAATTAAACACTCTTTGGTCTTGACACGACCTGCAGTTGGTGACCAGTAGTGTCAGTTCAGGTTCCCTGGAAACACTGATTCAAAGTTTTTTTAACAATTGCACTTACTCTTTACCTCACTCTTTACCTGCAGCAGCCTTTGCTGCCGAGATTGAGTGACTCAATTGTATTCTGATAGCAGAGCAGAACCTGTATGTTAGGTTTGACATTTATAGCAAAATATACATGTCTTTGATCGAAAGTTGTTGCTACAGTTAATAAAGCTGATAATATTTTCTTCAAGAAGTACTGAGATTTTTAAGAAGTACTGAACGGAATATGAAGGAAAGGAGTAGTTATTAGAACGGGACTAAAGTAAATAAAAACAAAAATAATTGCCGTTATACGTAACCCAAATCACCAGAGTGGTATCTTTAAATACAGAAAGTAGATATAGTTGAAAAGTTTTAGTACCTTGGCTACTAAATACCAACCGAATTTGATTATGAGATTGCAACATTGGAGAGGACAGAAAATGTAACATCATACTTTAAAAGGGAACTGTGTCTATATATGCGTATAGCAAAAGACTCGAACAAAGAAGTGTTAAGACGAATTGGACATGGCAGAAGGCTTATGAACACAAAATAACTTCTACACGTCATAATTCAAGAACGAGTAGTCGAAAGAAAAGGCTTAGGAAGAAAGAAAAAAACTAAGGAATATCAGAGATTGGAGTGTTAAACAGATATTTAACAGTTGTTGCAAAATATGGGGAGGCGTCTAAAGAAGTGTTCGCCAATCTTCGTTAGAGGACGGCACAAAAGAAGAATCCACTAGCTTTTTCATAATATTTGGTCATCGCTGTAGGTATCTTCTGCGTTGGCATTGACTCTGAGGGCTTTTTTGAATCAACAACTGCTGCAATTTATGACCACTATAATGGATGTGAACAAAGAACTTAAAAATTCTAAAGGAAATGGTACCAAAGAAACACTGATTATGTTTAATTTAATCTGGAACCGAGATATTCTTACAACGAGCCGTGCATGAAATTTAAAAGTCAGTTGCCAATATTGCTAAATATTTTAAAATAGAATACAATACGGACTCGAGTTTATTACAAATGTTGGCAACCAATACAGAAAACTTCTAAGCTTTGTTAAAAAAGTATATATCACGAAGAAAACGACATAACCTCCATCCTCTCCTACTCGATCTAGATGTAGGAAATGCAAGTGGTTGGAAAGAAGAAAATACTTATTGCTTATATTAATAAAAGCTTGGAAAGACACATATTTACAAGTGCATAATAATCACAAGTAACAAGAACCGCACAATATTATATAACCCAAAGAAAATGTTGAAGCTTTGTTCTCATATTGATCTAGTAATCCACTTAGAGATTTGTACTATTGTTTCTAGAATATATCAGATCTCCACTACTTTTACTTATTTGTAATATATTCGTTCATTATTCGTCTAAATTTATCCAGTTGTCGTTAAATAAAGTTTACGAATTTTACATTCTAATAAGCACCAACTTCTTTTATTATCTTTCGACTAAAGTTTTCCTAATTCAATGCAATCTAGCTCAGCCTAGAATAAAATAGGAAAATCGTGAACGCGCTGGCAGAGAATCGACATAGGTGGAATGTTTCTACGAGTAATTTATGCTCAAAGTTTTTCTTGATGTACTATGAGTATGCCAAATAATTCTTTTTCCAGAATAATCTATTTTAATTTAACATTAAAATCACTAATTTTAACGAATTTGGTCAGTAACTGTAGCTATCATGTTAATTTCCACTAGGAGTTTAAAAAATTCCTAAATTTATATTGAATTTTTAAATCAGTGATTTATGTGTGATCCGTCTTTTTGTAACATTTTTTATTGCTCTCCAGTTTCTATGTATTGTATTTTTTGATAAAAAAAATTAGACACACTGTATAATTTGACTCTCCTGTTTCTGTAAGTTCTACTTTCATTTATGATTGGCAAATACATAAATTTTAAAAGATTTTACTATGCATACCATTAGGAAAAATATATAAATACGTATTATAGTTTCTTTTGTAAGTTAAACAAGAAACTCTTTATAAAGCTGTCAATATATAATCAGTATTTATGACTTTACCGCACATACCCTGTGTTTACTATAAGTAGAGTTTGTTCAGCATGTTGGCATGGGACGTTTAAGGGGTTTATGTAGATTATAACATCGAGTGAATATCACACTTTGAATAAACACAACAGAAAAAATAAATAGAAGTTGTGCAACACGCAACAATTATATTCTAAATTCCATTTAGATAATACTCTATCATTTCAATAAATATTGATTTATCTACCAACTAAAATTATATAAATTTAAATATTAGATAACAATGATTCTATTGATTTAGTTTGATTTCTAGTAAGCAAATACATTAATTTTTTGTTCCAACAAGGAAAATTGCAATGCTGGAATTGAGTTTTGGACTGTATTTTGATACAGCATAAAAATTTGCCCAAGTCAGTTAACAACAAAAAGATTAAATGGTATTAAATTGTTAATTTAAATCACTAAAACTGACCAATTTTATGACACTAAAAATATATATGTAAAATATATTCATTTCTCTTATTATAAAAATGATATTTCATTACTAATAAAATTACAAGTATTTTTTTAAACGTTTGTTCAGTTTAGTGTTAAATGACTGTTTTTTTAAATAAGTTAATATTGATAACATTTTTGGATATCAATACTTCATTAAATATTAATATCATTAAAGTAAAAACTTTTTTTTAATATATTTCTTTTATATCAATTTAATAAAACAATAATAAAGATATTAATAAACTTTAATGAAAAAATAAATATTTTTTGATTTAGCTCTTTTAGAGTTGTTATGGTAAATAAAATAAATATTTTTGGGGACACAGTTCCCGCTTAAATATTGACATTTTTAATCAGTTAGTGTTTTATCTGATGTGAGCAAAAAAATTATTGCCTATATTGGCAGTATTCGATAAAACCAACAACCAATTTACCTGTTTAGAACAATCCGTATAATAAATAATACGTTCCTCGCACGGTTATCAAAAGTTGATGACGAAGACAGTGTAATGGTAAATACATCGATGATGAGTGATTCTCTAATTAGAAATCCTAAACCTACGTCTTATTTGTGCTGCCACAATTAAAAAGTGATTGGTTATTGGGCCCTCGCCGCGTATATTCAGTCACTTTGTTCTCCGTCACCTTCTACGTCTTTCTCTCCCACTTCCCTGGTATTACTATCTTCAGTTTCTATACTGCTGGTCGGAGTTGGAGTCTCTTCGACGTTCAGTAAACCGGAAGTTGAACTACTAGTAGATTGTGTGACGTTTGGACTTGTGTCGTACATAGCGTTTTTAGCAGGACTATACTTGTTCAGGTCGGTTGAGTAAGTACTGTTTAAATAGCTTTTATCTAAATATCGACTACTTACACCATTGGTTTTAATATCAGGAGAAGAATAAAGATATTCCGAATCGTAAGATGTGCTTTTAGTGTTCAAAGTTGAATACTTGTTAGTATCACTAGTATAGGAGTCAAAGAATGATTTTACTTCTTTTGATGGACCAATTGTATTAAATTTCTCAGAAAAAGTAGAATCTCCTGGAGTGTAGCTCATATACGAACCAGTTAGGAACGGATTAGTGCTAGCGTAAGTAGTAGGTTGCGTATAAGTAGAAGCCTGGGCGTAGTTCCAGCCATAACCTCCAGTAGAAGTCATGGCCATAGAGCTCTGTAAATTAGTAAAAGTTGAAGTAAAGGAAGGAGTCGTAGTTCCCAATGTTACGTTCAGTCCTGCTGAACTAGCTTGCATCGCCGGGGAGCTAGACCTTGATACTTGACCTAAAATAGAAGGAGATGCTCTACTTAAACTAGAAATCGAAGGTGAGTTTCTTGGCCCTGGCGAGCTTCCGGAAACGGCACTGGTGATGGATGGGGAGTGTCTCAGACCAGGTGAGTTAATAGTCACTGAAGGAGAAGACCGCAGGATCGTCTGAGAGGAAGGAGAAGCGCGTATGACGGGAGAACTGACGCGGCTGGGCAGGCAGTGTTTAACGGATTCTGATCCCGATTGCGAGTCACTACTGCTGCTTGGAGAGCCTGGCGAAGAGACTATCACTTGCCGCGGTCGAAGCACTCCGGCCGATGAGGTGGCTTGTGGTCCTACCCGAGGGGATAGTGGACGGTAAGGACCTTTGCTTACTGATGATGGGCCCTGAAATTTAACAAAAACAATATTTAGAGATATTCAACTTATTACTTGTCATCTTTTATTGGCACGTTTCTTAAATATACATTTTTTTTATATTTATATTTATGTCTAAGCTGTATTAATGTTTACTATTCTATATTCAATTTTTAATTTACAACTATCTTAAATACAAAAGTAACCGTATAACCCAATCTTTAGAATCTTAATAGCCATAATACCCATTAGGATATTCATCATCATCAACCAGCCTCTAACGTCCACTGCTGAACATAGGCCTCTCGCATGCTTTTCCACTTAGTCCGATTTTGCGCCATCTGAATCCAATTTGTAGTCACTCTTTTTATGTCATCTGTCCATCTCGTTGGGGGTCGACCTCTATTTCTGTAAGCCTGTATTCGGGGTCTCCATTCCAAAATTCTTTTTGTCCACCGGTCATCAACTGATCTTGCTACATGATCTGCCCAGTTCCACTTTAGTATTGTTATCCTTTCAATAACGTCTGCTACTCCTAAACTTTTGCGTATAGTAGCATTGGGTATTCTATCACGTAGAGAAATCCCTAACATAATTCTCTCCATTGCTCTTTCCGCAACTTGTAGTTTACTCACTGTTGTTCTTGTGAGCGTTAGGGTTTCTGCGCCGTAGGTCATCACTGGCAAAATACATTGATTAAATACTTTTCTTTTCAGACACATTGGAATCTTAGACCTAAAAATATCCTTCATCCTTCCAAATGCAGCCCAAGCGAGGTTTATTCTTCTTTTTAGATCGATTGTTTGGTTGTTTCGACTTATTCTGATCTCATGGCCCAAGTATTTATAGGAGTCAACTGGCCCAATATCTTTACCTTCTACTGAGATGTTTTTGTTGTGGACTGAATTTGTCATAAATTGTAATTTTGAAAAATTTATTTTAAGACCAACTCTTTTTGTGGCATTATGAAGTTCTTGGAGCATTATCTGTGCCTGATCAAAGCTGTCTGCAATAAGAACGATATCATCTGCAAATTTAAGGTTATTTAAAAATTTTCATTTCACTTTGATTGACCGTATCAAATGCTTTTTCAAAGTCGACAAAGACAAGTATCAGGGGTCTATTATATTCAATGGTTTTTTTAATCAACGACTTAATGGTTTGCAAATGATCATTTGTTCCGTATCCAGCTCTAAATCCTGCTTGCTCGCAAGGTTGATAGAAGTCTAGTTTTGATGTCAACCTATTAGTTATTATCTTCATAAACAACTTATAAACGTGAGATAACAAGCTAATAGGTCTATAGTTCTTTAGCTCTGTTATATCTCCCTTTTTGTGCATGACTACTATAACAGCTTTATTCCACTGAGATGGTGTAACCTCGTTTGAAAGACATAAGTTATATAATTGCGTCAATGCTTTCAATACTGTCTTTCCTCCTGCTTTAACTGCCTCAATAACGATTTGATCATCACCAGCTGCTTTATTGTTTTTCATTCTATTTAATGACTTTAAGACTTCTTCGATTGTTATTTCTGGGATATCCTCTGAACCCACATTTTGAACTTTTCTCAACTTGGTGCCGTCTTTCTTCCCCCTTTCTCTATATAATTCTGTGTAAAATTCTTCAACTACCTTAATTATCTTATCTTTATCTGTTACCACTTTTCCATTTCGATCTGCGAGCTTAACAATGTTCTTCTTACCTAGAGCTTGACATCTCTTCAGCACCTTTAAACTTTTATTTTTCTCGACAACCGTTGTAATCTTTTTTGTCTTATATTGTAGTACGTCCTTTCTCACTGCTTTATTAATATCTTTATTACGTTGTTGTAGTACGCGTGCATTCGTATCGTTTTTGTTCTTAAGTTCTCTTCGTGCCTCCATAAGTCTTTTTGTTTCTTGACTGAGCTTTTCCTCCTTATCTCTCCTAGAATTTGTATTGCACTTTTTCTCTGCGTTCTTAATAGCTTTTATTAAGTTATCATTTAAGGTTTCGATATCCATAACGTTTATATTTGTTGTCTCTAGGCATCTCAGAATTTCCTCTTCGCAGGACATGGTGTTTTCGAGTAAATTCCATTCTATTGGGTGTGTTTTTGTTATCATTTTGTATCTTTGTTTTTGGAGATTTAGCACGATCTTCGCTCTTACCATTCTATGATCACTTCCCACTGAACAGCTATTAAGAACTGTTACATCATGGATCATGTCTTTGTTGTTGGTTAAGACAAAATCAATTTCATTTTTGGTGACTCCATCTGGACTTGCCCAGGTCCATTTTCTTTGGGGACTTTTTTTGAAAAAGCTATTCATTGCAAAGAGGCCATTTCGTACCAAGAAACCCAAAAACATTTCGCCTCTTTCATTTCTTTGTCCGAATCCATAGGGACCTATTGCTACTTCGGCCCCGTCTAGTTTACATCCCAACTTAGCATTAAAGTCACCCATTACTAGGTTGTGTGTAGTAGGCGCTAGTTTTACAGCATTTTCTAGGTCTTCATAAAAGGTTTCCACTTCCTCGTCCGAGTGTGTAGATGTAGGTGCATAGGCTTGAATTATTTTAAGGCTGGTTTTTTTATTAAGCTTCAGTATGCAGAGTATTATTCTTGGGTTGATACCTTTAAGTTGTTGGATATTTTTAGTGTGTCTCTTATGTATAAGAAGTCCAACTCCTCCTATTTTTTCTTTGTTTCCCATATAGAAAAGTTGATGCCCTGATTTAAGAGTTATACAGTTTTCTTCTTCACGTCTTACTTCACAGAGACCTATAGCGTCCCATTTTATGTGTTTTAGCTCTTCTTCTAATTCCAGTAATTTTTCTTCAGATGACAGTGTTCTTACATTGTACGTGGCGATATACATTTGTCGTCGTCCGTGGTAGCCTGATCTGACCCGGGGATTCTTCGCACCCTCTGTTTGCTGTCTTCCTTGATCGCTACCTTGACCAAGGATCAGCTCACTGCCGGGGACTGAGGGCCGTGTTTTTGTCGTGTCAAACATGCTTGGATTTTAGCCATACTCTACCATGCTTTAGGAGTTTTAAAAGGGGGGGGATAGGAAAAGGGTATGAGGACCTGGTTTTCTCAGGCAAGGAAGGAGGGAAAACCAGAAGCTAGCATAAGGCAGGGTCACTAATCCCTGTAGCAGCCTGTCTTCTACTGGGATTGTAGAAGAGTGCTACCTGCCACCTAAAGGTGGCCATTAGGATATTAGGGCTATTATATTTATGTATTTATGGTGATATTTTTTCACAAGATATCCATTTTTGTCAACTGGTCTTTCAATGTTGTTGTAGCATGTATTTTATGCTGATCTGACAGCAATTTGTCACCTCACCAAAGGTGACACTTTTATGTTTTGCACTTGAGTGTTCTATAAAACGATGCATTCCCTCAGCGTTAGGTCTATGTGCGGATGTATCATGGTAAGTCTCTTGTATACACAATATTTTACATTTGTAAATGTTAAACAGTTCCAATAAAATTTCTTGCTTATTGCAAGTAATTCAATCGATGTTTCTGGTTATCATTCCCAATGTTGGATCTGAGATTAGCCTAAATTCAAAAGTGGTATCTCTTTTGAAAAGCAGGAAAGACCCCAAACTATCGAGTAGCTACCGTCCGACATTCCTGCTATGTCACCTTTATAAATTATATGAATCCCTTATTTTTAATCGCATCCAGAAACAGTTAAATGTAAAACTAATTCCACAACAAACAGGCTTCTGACCAGGCAAATCCTACACAAACCAAATATTAAATATAACAGAGTATATTGAGGAGGGATTTGAGCAAAGAGAGATAATATGAGTAGAACCATAGAACCCTCCTAACAAGGATATAATATCTCGTGCTTAACTACGATCTGATATAGGTCATTATGTCATCACGAAATCATTTACGCTTCTATCAGCTAAACGGAAAAAAGAGCAGATGCCGAACTAGCCAATGCACTCTCAAGCTAAGACCTTTATACACTGACGGTTTTGGTATTGCTGTAAAAGGAAAAACCTTTGTACTATTGTAAGTGTTGTAATGGAGTTGAGTCGATAATGAACGAGGCTTTAAACATGATGTCAACCTATTACAAACAAAACTCACTAAAACTAACTGCTAAAATCCAAGTTTATGCATGCCATCTCAACACCCATTTAAGGCATCAAAACTAGATGTGTCCTGAAGGGACAACACTTGGAACACACTGTTAGACATAAATATCTTGAAGTCGTATTAGATCGCTTCTTCTTCTAAAGGTCTTTTTCTTGTGATCTTAGCGATCACATTGAACCATCTCCATCTTATTTTATTCATAGCAGCTCGAAATAGGTCAGTTACCGTTAGACCAGTTCATTTCCTAAAAGTTGCCAGACAGGATATACGTCTGCATTCAGACCCCCTCCTGCCTTAAACTTGCCTTGTACAATTGACTTAATCAGTCGTTATTTATTATTACATATAATGTAGCCGAAGTAAGCCAATTTTCTGTTTTTTTATGGTGTTAATACTTTCTTTCTCTTTCTTAGCTTCTGAAATTTATTTCTAACACACGTCGGTAGAGCCACATTTAAATAGCTCTAACCATTTTACAGCAGCTTATAAAAGACTTTAGCTTATACTCCGTAAAGGAAGACATTAAAGACGTAACATTCAAGAATTCTTTTATGTATATTGATACTTAAAGATAAGTTGCAAAGATCCCAGGTTTTTTTCTTCAGTCATGACCCTCTTGAAATCTATTAACTAATACATGGGTATTTTGCATATTCGTGTAATTTGGTCATGATCTTTGCCCTTCTACCTTTTCTTAGATAAGTCTGTTTATGTTTTGTTGAGAATGGAGTTTGCTGGAAAGCCATTTGTTGATTTAAGCTTATTTAAAATTAAATTATTTGGCTCGTGGTTCACAGAATTTGTAACATGCTTTTCTACCAGAACATTGCATTGGCGTCTATGTTTCTTCTTTTTGCTAATCGTAGGGTCCAAGATTGATTAACCTCATTTCGTGAAGTTTGTGAGCCCTTCGATATTTTGACCATCTTACATCGGATTTCTTTCTTTCTGTATTTGTGATCGGATTTCTTGTGTTTGTGATCCCAGGTATCCTGAAGATATTAGACTGCTCTTCTTCTTCTTCATGTACTATGTCCTTTCAGAACGTTGGTTACCATCATAGCTATTTTAATTTTATTCACTGCCACCCTAAATAGCATGCTTGTATCTACACCATACCAGTCTCGCAAGTTCTTCAACCATGAGGTTCTTCTTCGTCCTGGACTGCGTTTGCCTGCTATTTTTCCTTGCATGATGTTTTGTAGCAATCTATATTTGGGACCTCTCATTACATGTCCGAAATATTCCAGCTTTCTCTGCTTGATGCTTTTTATGATGATTAGACTGCTCACTAACACATAAATACCACCATCAGAGTACAAGACAAAAGGTTGCTATGAGTAACAACCTTTTCCGAAACCTTATAGAAAGCATATGGGGTTTGAAAACACAGGTCTTAAAGTCTCCAGCCGATGACTTGTGTTTCTCAGTAGTGTGGAGTAGATCTAGGCATGCTCAATAAGTCACCACTTTATTAAACAAAACATGTAGAATCAGTACAGGCTATATGGAATAGACCCTTCCCTACTGTATCAAACAGCTGCGTCAACCATATATGCGTCTCTCAATATGTTAAGAAGTTTGGGCAAAATTTCAATAAAAGTCACCAATTATACGAGTTTAAGTAACTGCCAGGAACCAGCCGGCTTGAAGCAAGAAATGGGTTTATGAGAAGTTTTAGTGTCGAATCCCCCGAATTGTTTCACCTACACTCAGAGCCACACGGAATAAACTGAACTGAACTGAAACTGGAGAACTTGGCGGGCACTTAACCGCATACGAACCAGCGTTGCTCATGTAATACAAAACCTCATTAAACCAATACAGAATGTGGAACAGACTAAAGTAGGCAGATTTTATCCATTACAGTGAACCCTCATTGATTTATGTCTAGCAAATACAAATGCGGTAGGCTTATCCCGAAACTGGGCAGAAAAATTGTTGTCGGATACAGACTTAAAAAAGTAAGTAAGTGTTATAAATAAGTATAATGCTCTTCTACCGCTACATCTTCGCAATTTACTTATTTGTCTTGTTTTGTTCTGGTATATACATGCCTTTAGATAAATTTGTTTCCTTATATAGAATTTTGCCACCTAGCTCTTAAAACTATAGTTATCTGTATATGTGAATCTTAAGAACATTAGCATGTATACCACCAATTAATTTTTAAATAAGTTTCGATAATACAAGGTTTTATTTACACCTAAAAATTTATTTACTAATAATATGTTCCTTAAATAATTAAGGTTTATTTTGGGTCGTTTCTCTCGATATATCTATACTTACTAGTATCTGGTGTAATGGGACCTGTGGCTGTGGGCCTCGCGGGCCCGAGACTGCTGAGCGAGGAGGAGGAGGAAACGGAGCCGCTGAGAGCCGAGACTGCTCTCGGGCCCCCGCTGGTCCCACCGAGGATTGAAGAGCCACCACCACCGCTCCCTGAGGAGGACACGCACTGCGACTGTCTCCACGCGGCCCGGATGGCCTGCCGCGCCGACCTGTCTGGAAAGGCCCCCTCTAAATACCAACAACACCCCCACACATCGATAAACTAACTACTTAGGCTACGTGACAATATATTATATAGATTTCAGTAAATAAGCCATGAAATAATCAATTTTTCTAATCGATTGGCAATCGCAGATAATAACAAAAAATATCACATCTTTTAAAGATATTTTGTCAATTTTATTTAAGGTTAGTGCGCGTTTAGTATCCTAGAAATATGACCAAACAGTAATAAAACAGTCTAACATAAAACTTCTGGATATTAAGATATTACATATAAATAAAGGGTCGAAGAAAACGCAACATAGGATGCGTAAAAATTTCATTGCTGAATTTTTCTTGCAGTTCTGTCTTTAGACGAAGGTTTTGTGCCCTATTCCACGTTTGCCTTGATATTAATTTTTTTAATATTAGTTGTAATTTTGAACACTTAATAATAACTTATATTTCGATTTCTAATTATGTATCCAAGAAATATGAGTTACAATTTGCTGTATTTTATGGTTACATCCATTACCGACATGGATCAATAATATAACATAACGTGGTCAAAACATATAACAAGAATGACCGACTTTTAATAATTTTTCCTAATCTTTTAAAACCTGCTATTAAATGCACCTCTAGCTATCTGAATGCGTCTTTAGATTTCTACAATTTTCTGTTTAAAATATTGCCCAAATTTTATGTATCCACAATTTATAACTCTGTATTGATATTTTTACGGCACAATTCCTCAAAGCAGTAATTAAAGTTTTTATTCAATATTTGAAGTTTCGTTGCTTGTGTCTGTCGAATCATAACGAATATTATTTATCTTCAGTCCACTTATTTTATTCTCTTTATGTCGTTCAAATACCGTCGAGAATATTACATACACTTGGGTCCATGATTCTATACCCGTGCGTCATTAGGTAATACATGGCGAGATAAAACATACTCATCACTCAGAGTCTTCTAATATTATTGTCACAAATTGGTGACATTGCTGGTAGTGATCCTTTCCCTATGCTCCTTTCCTATTTTTTTCTTTTAGAAGAAAAATATAAGTTTTCTTTTGTTGCGAGCTGTGCCAATAACTAATAACTTTATTTTCCTAATAATTGTATTAACCTTGTAGATCTAAGCTCTAGTCACATTTAGTAGGAAAATCTCTTCTTATGAACTTTTTATGTGTATTATTAATTATAAGTTTTTATTTTTTATGACTTTGTCTTATATATATATATATATATATATATATATATATATATATATATATATATAGATATATATATATAAACATATATATATATAAACATATATATATATATATATATATATATTTATATATATATATATATATATATATATATATATATATATATATATAAGATTCTTGAACTCCTAAGTGGAGCATAGAGCTTCAGTGAAAACGCGCCATCGGGTTCTATTTTGCGCTAAGGCCTTCACCTCATTCCAAGACTTTCCTTGTTTTCTTATCTCGTCCATGATGGATCTTCTCCAAGTTTGTACTGGGCGACCTTTTTTTTGTTTTCCTTGGGGATTCCACTCTAGGGCAGTCTTTGCAATACTGGAGTTATTTTTTCGGAGTGTGTGACCGATCCAACCCCACTTTCTGGACTTTATTTCATTTACTACCCTCTTTTGTTTGGTCAGATGTAGTAAATCTTCGTTTCTGATAATGTTAGGCCAGAAAATACGAACAATTCTTCGTAGACATTTATTAACAAAGACCTGCAGTTTGTCTGTAAGGGTTTTTGTCGCTTTCCAGGTTTCACATCCGTAAAGTAGTACAGACATGACATTTGACTGGAATATGCGGATCTTTGTCCTCGTAGTGTATTCTCCAGACCTCCAAACAGGGTTGAGCATGCTGAAAGCTTGTTGCGCTTTTCGTATCCTCATACGAATATCGTCTTCTGTACCTCCGCTTTCTGTTATGACACTTCCAAGATACGTAAAGTTTTCCACATTTTCAATCTGCATGTTATTAATGGTGAATAGCGTGTTGTTTCTTGCATTTATTCTCATTAATTTGGTTTTACAAATATTGATTTTCAAACCTATTTTATTGGCTTCAGTAGAAAGTGTTTCCAATTGGTCAGCCACATCTTGGAACCTTTGTCCTAACAGACAGATATCGTCGGCGTATTCTAGATCGCTTAGGCGTGTGGTTAGCGTCTATTGTATCCCTCTTGTGTCAGAGTCTAGTTTTGAGAGAACATAGTCTAGAGCTATGTTAAAAAGAAACGGAGAAAGCACGCATCCCTGTCTGACTCCAGTAAGTACGTCAAATTCGTCACTGTTGATCCCATTGTGTGTCACTCTGCATTTCGCTTCAGTGTACAGTAACTTTATAATGGAAATTATTTTATGCGGGATGTTTCTTAGCTCTAAAATTTTCCATATCGCATCATGAGATAAGCTGTCAAAAGCACGCTCGAAATCAACAAAAATCATGTATATGGGTGTGTTCCATTCAACCGATTGTTCCATTATTAGCCTCACAGTATTAATGTGGTCTATGCAGGAGGATTCTGGTCTAAAGCCTACTTGATTAGCTCGAAATTCAACCTTGTTTGTTAATCTTTTAAGTATGATGGTCGTGAAGATCATGGCCGTCGTTTATGGCGGTAAGCAAGGTTATTCCCCTCCAATTTTTGCATAGTGCGAGGTTGCCCTTTTTTGGAAGCTTAGTAATGATGCCTTTTTTCCAGCCCGCTGGAATGCGGTTTGTTTCCCACACCTCTCGGATTATGGGGAGCAAGAGTTCAGCAGTTAGATGCGGATCAGTTTTAAGTATTTCGGCAGCAATGTTATCGATGACATTGTCTTTTAGTATACTAATAAAGTCATCATTTTTATGTTCTACAAACTTCATAGTCTTTAGTTTTAGTTTTAAAAATATAGTAATTGTAGTTTGGCTTTTACATAACTTTTTTTATCGATGGCTTACGGGTTTTGTTGTATTTACGTTATGTTCTCTATTTTATTATTTTGATGTTTCTGACGTCTTCTGACGTAATCTAATAAATAAAATATTGAAATTTATTTTCTATATGATAATATTAGTTGTAAAAAAGTTACATAAAACTATATCTATGAATATATTGGATTTTTTTAATATTGCCTTTGAAATCTATATGTCTTGTCAGGTCACCTTAACTATAGTACGTTTTCTACTTTTACTAAAGACACAACTACCATGACCAAAATTCGGTAGGTGGTGGTGGTATGGGTGTGATATGGACTATTGGGTTTGTGGAAAAACATTTTCGGTTATGACATGTACTTCTAAAACAAAAACAAACATTAAAGAAAAAATAAATCAAACAAAACAGATCATTTAAAATAAAAATCAAAAGTAACTGTGGACATTTGGTACATGGTAATATATTATTTTGTATCTGAT